TATATTTGTATTTACAAATAAAATAAAAACAATACTAAGTAAATAAATATCACATGTGACTCTAGCGTGTATGACATCTTAAAAACAATGAGTAAACTGAGACTTAATCTTTACAATGACTCTTTCTCTAATTTTGCTGACATCTGCTATCAATATAGGCCGTTTTAATGCAGGGGTGGATCGAGCTGAATAGAGAAGGTACATTTTTCTACAAAAGTGTACAGCTGCTGGCGTATGATACTCACTTCTTTGGCCTCACCAACTCCCCCTTGAGTTCTGATTTTTCCAGGCTTGACAAGGAAGCAAAGCATATGGAGTCTGGTAGTGAACGAGGGTAAGACGAAATATCTCCCGTCATTCGGTATTCGCGAGATAACTTTGTCTATCTTGGAGTATTAACATCAACAACAAAGTCAGTGGAAATTCAACGCAGAATCACTCTTACCAGCAGGTGCTGCTTTAGACTGAGCAGGCAATTGGAAAGTAACGTACTCTCCCGATTCGTTCTTCGACTCTACAAGTCTATCAACGTTCCTGTCCTGCTATAAGTTGCAGAGGCATGAACGGTGACAACATCTGATGAGTAGTTGTTACAAGTTTTCGAGAGAGAGAGAGAGGTTTTGCGTAAGATTTACATATGTTCCTCTACGAGTTGGGAACAACGAATACCGCAGCCAATGGAACAATCAGCTTTACGTGATATACTCGTAGGTGACATTGACATTGTTCAGCAATCAAGAAACAGCGGCCACGCTGGCTAGGTTATGTGGTCCGGATGGTTAAGATTGCTCCAGCTTTAAAATAAAACGATACAGTACCCGCGCAGGTGGAAGCAGAGGAAGGAGAAAAACTCCATTCTGTTGGAAAGAATAGGTAGAGAAGGAGCTGGCTGCACTTTGTATTTTCAAATGACTCCAAATTGCGGAGACAAGGAATGAAGGGCTTACCATTGTTAACTCGGCTAATAAAGAAGAAGAAAAATCGGGTTAAGGGAATGCGGTTCAAGATTTTAGGCGAAAATAAAATTAATTTTCGCAAAAGTTATTAATTTGTGAAGAACGAAGTTTTCGTTAAGTCTTTACTTTATCGTAAACGGTTCATAATATAAATTGAAGTTGGCTTCATCGCCACCTTCGGCTATGAAATCGGATTTTATTAGACAGAATTTGTTAAAGGAGTAGCATTGTTCTTCAGGCTAGAGACACAACAGAAAGCGTATTTACCAAAGCACATAATATGTAGAGAGCACAACCTTTTTTTACATTTTCATACCTATAAATTTTCATCTAGTCGTTCGTAAATTCATTGTCGAAGGAGATACAAATGTCGACGACTTTAACAAGCCCAACGAATAAACTAAACACCCCCAACCGACATGAGAGGAGGTCGTCTCGCCGTATAACGTACGGAATATGCCGAATCGTGATTGCCAAGCGTTTGTTAAATGTCGAAATTATTTTGCACCCTGTGTGCTGCAAGCCGCGGAACTGCTAGATTAAAAATCACTTTACAAAAATATCCCTAGTTTCACAATTTTAATATATTTTTTTTGTTGCAAATAAAATTTTTTCTTTTTTTTTATGGAACTGTTTCAGACCATCTATATTTTATGGAAATAGTGATATAATTACAACAATAGTTCTGAACGATAGAAGTTATAGCTGCTATTTCGAAAACCACCACGTTTCTTCATCAGACCACTTTTTCCAGACACCTTTGCTCGAACAGGATCCGAACTTGGCATGCACACAGCACGAGTCAATGGTTATCCCATTAAGCTACATGTGTGCCGCCTCTTCTTTGTGTTGTTTTTTCACTTTTCCTTTCATCTACATAACCACGATCAAGTGATCAGATATTCTGTAGCTGTAAACTTGGCGCGATGTAGTTATTTTTGTGAAGAATTTACCGACAAATATTTTAAGGCAATTCCAATTATTATTGGAAAATTTCATTGGCACGGCAAAGGTTCTTCCGTAGTTATTAGATGCTTTTTCAGGTCATTTTTCTGCTGAATTGTTTTTGGGGGTTTTTTATGGAACTGTTGCAGACCATCTATATTTTTTTGGAAATAGTGAAAAAAAATTACAACAATAGTTTTGGACGGTAGAAGCTATACCAATTTTTTCTATTTAAATATGAAACTAATCAGGAATCAAAACATTTTAAATGTATTACCTTTTTCCACATAAAAAAAAAACCTCTTAAAAAAGTGGCCTCACCTCTTAATAGTAAAGGCCCAAACTGCTTAGATACACGTCTAAGACTTATCAATAGTTATCGATAACATCTACAGCATACCGATTTTGACGAGTCGTCACCGTTTTATATCGACGACGCCAACCATAATGGGCATCGTGGCCAACATGAAAACAGATTTGCAACAATATTTAATCATCCGTTTCGGCATCTTCTTTAATATACAAATAGTGTTTGGTTTCAAATCAATGTTTTGTGTGTTAGTGTATTCTTTTATGATTTTCCTCTCTTTTTTTTTGATTTGTCAGCTGGTTTCGATAAAATTTCGATCAAAATTAGAGAAGGCATCGATTTGGTCGTAATTCGCATGGCAATTGAGACCAAATTATCCACTTTTACTGTAATTCGCTCACGATAATTTTTATGGCGAACTAAATAATTCGGCATTCATTTGGCGTGCGAATTACGATTGAGAGAGCGAAACTCGTAATTGGGCTGTCGTGGAAATGACGTATTATTTAATAAAAAAATAGTACGCAATGAAAAAATGTCAGCAATATAAATAAATAAAGTAAAATTATGTAAACATATTACTCCGACGTCCCTTTTTTTCTACTCCTAATCTGCTTATCATCATTTTTATGATACCAAAGAACTGTAGAAAGTTTCTTTTTATTACGTATATAGATATTAAACCACATTTGTATGTAGATTTGGCAGTTTTTGATAAAACTTGAGCAAAATAGGCAACTATCTCTTTCGGCGGAAAATCACAATGACTATGCCGAATTGACCGTTAATTAAAAGTTTGTAAGGTCATTTGGAGAACTCGAGTCATTGCATTCTACATATCAATTAAAATTTTCTATACGTAGAATTCTTCAAGGCAAAAACTTAGGTGCTAACCAACTCATTACTATTTGAAAGTAAGCAAAGAAGTAATTTTATCTAACTGTATCAACATATAAGAATATGTATGTATGTATGTATACATAGTGTATAGTTTACGTGCGATATTACGGTAATTTTGCTAATTAAATTCGCAATATTTGTGTTATTGAAACTAGAAGCAGTGAAGTGAAAAATAATTATGGAATAAAAATTCATTATTCACATTGATTACACTGGTCAAGAATTAAAATTTATATAAAAATTGGAAATAAATACAAAAATCTACACTTAGAAAAATTGTAATCCTCAACTTACAATTCAAACGAGACATTTACAGAAAGAAAATGTACTGAGGGCTCTCATGGCTGTGCAGGATTTTATTTCCGCCCTGTTGGCAAGAACGTGCTCGGTCGGAGGTCACTACGTTGAGAAGTGTCGACGCGACAGCACTCTTAGTGAACACTGTCAATTCAGTCTCCCGCTGAGTGCGAAATACGCGGCGTCATTCTTTATCTCGTTTCGGAAGGAAAACCTTCATTTGAGATATTTTGAGAACATAGAAAAATTTTGGAGGGTTATTCAGAACAACAGCAGAGACGCGTTAACAAAAGGTATCTACCTACTTCACGATCAATTCCAGGAAGTAATTGGCACTTACTTACTTTATAGGCGTAGACACCGCTTACGCGATTATAGCCGAGTTAACAACATTGCGCCATTCGTTTCTGCTTTTTACTGTGTAGAGTTTGGTTTTTGTTCTTCGGGAGAGGACTGGCATTATAATAGCCAAGCACTGTTTTCATATCATGGCGTGGGCAGCGCTAATGAGTATGCTCTAGGCGCTTATAAAAGGGATCTTTGGCCAAATCGTTCTTCTCTTCCGTCGGGGCGTGGGCGCGTGGGCACGCGGGCGCAAATTAACGATATGTTGAAAAATTTCGCTTTAATACGGATGCTCATCCACCAGTCCTCCTTTATATAGCCGCTGTAGTAAATGTCACAAGAACCTGCTCGCTTTCGTCCTTGTCGCGCCCGTAGTACTTGTTGAACGGCGGTGATGTCAGCCTTTATTCTTACGAGGACATCAACCAGCTGGGGAGCGGCACCTTTCCAATTAAGGGACCAGACATTCCAGTTGCATGTCCCCCAATCGTGATCCTTAATTCGTTTGCGGGGGACGTCAACAGAAAGGGGGTATTAAATCCGAGGCGTTGCTAAGTTTTTCAGGGTGTTTCTGGTACGACATCTTTGGATGTTTCACTTTTTTGTAATTTAGCAGGCTAAAAAAGTGTTCCCTGCATAAACTCAACATTCGCTATGAACATCGGTCACCAGATCAGCACATGGGGTCTTATATGAGTAAGCTACGGTCTTGACATCGTCTGTAAGTGTTTATTATTATGCAGTTCCATTGGCAAGTCTCGCCGTGTAGAAGAGAAAGTAGAAAGTATCTTTGGACGCATAGTGCTTCGTTTCCATTGAGACGTTTGCTCTCACTTTATTTCGGATTGTGACAAAACAATAGTACTCTGCGGTGGAGTCCATACTACCCCAAACCGCTTACCAAACTTCTGCTCCTTCCTTTCCTTTTATGAGCACTGTATACATATCACTCTTATCAGTCTTTGTCGCGTCAACCGTGGTGTTTAGAAGGCGATGGGTGACAGCCTTAATGTTGCCGGAGACACCAGTCAGCGGTGCGAAGAGGTCGCAGAAGTAGGACTGTACCACAGGACCACTCCAAATTAAACCCTTTTAATAATAAATAGTACTTTTGATAAAACATAATACTTTTTTCATTATTTTGGTTCAGAAAATAAACTGGTTCTCCCAAGAAAATATAATTTGTCAGTCTCTATTACTCAAAATTTAAGTCTATATTTTAATTATTTCTTTTGTTTTGTTTCCAGAACTAAAATTTCCCACTAACTTGACCAAGAGAGCAACGCTTAATTGCAGACCTGTGCATACTCCGGCAAATAAACATGTCCAGTCCACCACCAACAACATTTAACAGCAATGGAGAATCCCAATCTTATGCGCCAGATGCAACAACAACCCACGCCGCACAGACAAACGAAAATGCATCGGCGTTTACACTGTCCAATGATGAGCTCTTCATGAAAATGCGACTCGATTCGATAACATCGATCGATAAACCGGACTCGCCGCAAGCAGCACAACCAGCCAATAACGGGGGAGCGCCGATGAAACGTAACATAAGCGAAGGCAATCTGCCGGTAACCGAGACAAAAGAGGCGCGCGTGCGCGTAATCTACACGGGCGGCACTATAGGCATGGTGCGTAATGAGAATAACGGTAAGCAGCCTTATGAACTGTTATATATATATATATATATGTATAAACTCTATGGTTGTCATACTCATACAGTTTTAGCGCCGATACCCAATGCCTTGGTGAAGACCCTACGCAGATACCCAAATATACACGATGAAATTTATGCGCAGAAACGTTTTGGATCTGCCGCGTCAATGGGACCGCTTGTATTGCCATTTGTACAGGGCGAGAGTCGTCGCATTATCTATCAAGTGACTGAATACCATGCACTTTTGGACTCCAGCAATATGACAATGAATGACTGGGCGCGCGTTGCCAAGGATATACATGTATGTTTGTAGATTTGCACTCACAAATTTATGGTATTTTACTCAACAAAGTGACTGACAATTGCAGCAATCCTATGAGTTCTTCGACGGTTTTGTCGTACTGCACGGCACGGATACGCTCTGTTACACTGCCTCGGCGTTGTCGTTTATGTTGGAGAATCTTGGTAAAACAGTCATTATTACCGGCTCACAGATACCGATTTTTGAAACGCGCACCGATGGCAAGGATAACTTCACCTCCGCACTAATTATCGCCGGCAACTATGTGATACCGGAAGTGTGCGTCTTTTTCGGTCACAAGCTGATGCGTGGTAATCGCACTGTGAAAATCAGTGCTGATCGTTTGGAGGCATTCGATACCCTAAATGTTCCGCCCCTGGGCATTACTGGCATAAATGTGGAGATAGATTATCGTTTAATATTCCGGCCATGCGGTGTCTCGCGTTTTGTGGTGCAAACAAATTTAGATGAGAATGTGGGCATATTACGTATATTCCCAAGTATTTCAATATCATCAATACGAGCCTTCCTAGCGCCGCCCATGAAAGGTATTGTTCTGCAATCGTTTGGCGCCGGAAATGTGCCTTCGAATCGCAAAGATTTACTAGAAGAACTAAAGGCGGCTTGCGATCGCGGCTTAATCATTGTAAATTGTACTCAGTGTGCGAGTGGTAGTGTGGCAAAGGTGTATGAAACAGGTAGAGTTTTATTTGAAATTGGTGTATTGTCTGGTTTTGATATGACGCCGGAAGCTGCACTCACAAAGCTCTCATACGTGTTGGGCAAACCGGGTTTGTCATTGGAGCAGAGGAAGGAGGTAAGCAGAGAGATTTCGGCGGTTTTGAATGCATGAATATTACATTTTTATCAACAGCTCATGCAAACCAATCTGCGCGGCGAAATGACCTCAACAACTGGCGCCAAAATGGAGGAATTCGATTTGGTGGATGCCGTTGCGCGCTCGATGCATTTATCTACACCAGAGGAGTTGGGCCAAATGTGTGCCACGCTTTTTCCGGCAATGCTGAATACAGCCGTAAAAGATGGCGATATAAATAAGGTATTTCAATGTTTAAATTTCTGGTTGTCCTCATTCACCTCTTCACTAACATTTCTTCCAACATTTTTCCTGGCAGATCATTAACCTCAAAGCCTACGGCGCTGATCTTTCCTGCACAAATCACGATCATCGCACTGCACTACATTTGGCTTGCAATCAGGGCAATCTTTCCGTGGTCAATCATTTGCTCATGAATGGCGTTTCTGTGCACATACGCGATCACTACGATCGTACGCCATTACTAGAGGCAATCGCTGGTGATCATCATGAAATTATACAACTACTTATCAATTGTGGTGCCCATCTGACCGGTTCCTCACGTGTCATTGGTGAACAATTGTGCGCTGCTGCTGCGAGAGGCTCACTATTGCGCCTGAAGTCATATAAAGTGGCTGGTGCAGATCTAGCGCAACCGGATCCTTCTGGACGTACGGCTTTGCACTTAGCCGCGCTGCACGGTCACTCCAGCTTGGTCCGTTACCTCTTGGATATCGTTGATAATCCAAGTGTTAAGGATATGTTGGAACTTACACCGTTGGATTACGCAGAGAAAGGTGGATCACAGGAAATAATTCAATTACTGCGCGACGAAAGGGTGTAGCGTAGCATCAGCTGCACTAAAGCAAAAACATTTCAAGTTATTTGCTTATAACAAAAAATGTACTGTAAATTAAACAAGCTAACTGTGCTGTAGGTATGCATTAAGAACATGGCTGCTTCCAAGGAACAAAGAAGTGGTTTCCATATTCGTACGCCGTAAGAACTTCGAGTTGTCGTCTTCACTCAGGCGAAACTAATAATTATGACTGATATTTTCTCACGCGCGCAGGAGCCACAACAAAAATGAAGAGTTGCTCGACCAAAAAAATCTCTACACTTAATCAACTATTTTTTTATTTTTATTTTTATTTTTATTTCTTTTATTCATGAGTATTTGCTTTTTAGAATATAAAAAGTAATGCGTTGTAAAAAGTTTGCATTTATTATTATTGACATTGAAAACTTTAAATATTGCGCTAGCGAATTAGCAAATAAGAAATTTTGTAAGTGATTTCACTATATTATTGTTGAAGATTCCACACATTATAGCCAAAAATTGTTGAAGTTTTGTTTTATAAATATAATATTATCGCAGGAGGAAAATTGTATAATTTATCTGACATATTCAAATATATTACATTAATTGGATAAAGTTTGAAATCATTTAATTTTGAATTTGCTGGTATTGAATGCAACCAAAGGTAAATACATTCAAAAAAATTTGTTTTCGAAAAGTTGCGGGCTTAATAGATAGATGCAAATGGCTAAACACATAGTTAGGAGCATTATTTTCACTTATTCTTTTATATAAAAATATCAAATCCTGTAAAGCAACGAAAAGGTAGAAAAGAAAACTGAAACTTATATTGCAAGACTAGAAAAATTCGTGCATAAATGATATTTTTTTAATAAACACACCGCTTCCGCAAGAGCCGGTTTCGGCTGATCACTTTTTTAAGAGGAAAGTATTGTGCGTTTCTTTAGCCGATTAAAGTTATTTCTACTCATTTTTGTACATACCACACATGTGCAAGTATTTAGAAGCTTACTAATTCCCGTTGCACTAGCAGATTTACACACCAAGAATCATTGAATATTCGATCATTTTTTTAAGCTATATACCGATAGTCTGTTCTTAGTTACAACCACATAAAACAAAATTGCAAATGAGAATATATATTTTCACTTCAGAATTAGGCAAAACCGGAAAGCACAAACACACAGGAAATACTAAAATATTTTGCCGCCCGTTATCAAAAGCTTCTTCTTGCTCTTCTGTCACCATTCACAATTACATTGAAGAAATAAAAACAAAGCGACAATACTGTATTAAGATTATAGTTGGCAACGCTAGACTATTGACAGTAAAAAGAATTCTGCTGACATGGAAGTTATTTTTGTTGTGTATCGTCCGAAATTTTGTCTTTTTAAATTGGTAAATTTTTTGCAAATCATAAATTATTATATTCATAAATATAATAAAAGTACCCGAGAATTAGTAGGGCATGCAATTTTATAAAGATTTTTCAGCTAAGTGTTGTTTTGTGTAAAAGAAAAAAGAGGAAAATTTTGTGCAGCAAACCCGTACACGTCGTACACTCGCGTTTGGGCCAGAATAGCCCCACAAATTGGGTGCTCTTATTGGAATTTCGTTTCGTTTGTTTATTTGTGCATACACAAAACAAGAAATAGTGCCAACAACACAGCTTATGTGATTTCATATTTGTGTTTTTTTTTTAATATTAATGCTATAACTCTACTCATAATTTGATCATCATTTTGTTTTTTACTTACAGCCTAAATGTACAAAAATCGATTAAAGTAAATTTTATACCAACAAACCCAATATATGTATGTATGTACGTGTATGAAGAACCGACAGAAACGAATTAAATTCCGTAGCAGATAACAGAAACTGTAATTAGAATTTGTAAGATCGTACAGCTTAGAAGCATAAGTAGAAAAATCTTTTGTGATAACGGAAAGAAATAGAAAATGTCCAGTAATGAAGAAAATGAGCAGGCCGCCAATATCAGTAATCTGCAGGAAAGCTTTTCCAAGCAACAGGTACCTTTCTTCAATTCCCTTTTGCATTTTTCTGCATTAAACCCGTTATTTTATAATTTGTAGAAAAAAATATCGGCGCTTAAGGAACTTGTACGTAAGTCAGAAGCGGCACATGGTAAATCTACATCAACGGCACATGAAAAAGTTAAAAAAATCGCTCAACGCCTGACACACTTAAAAAATAAAGCACGCTCTAGACAAAGTTTGCCTGCTGAAACTACCTCCACCACAGTGCAAGAGAATGTTGGCTCAAATCTTCCCAATGAGACGATTGATACCGTGCTGGAACATACCCATCACCAGCAGCCAACAGCGCGACCGTCACCGCATTTTTCACATTCATTTTCTTATGTAGAACAAAATTTCGCGACTGGATCTGCGCAAATTGGCCAGACTTCAACACCGCAGGTCACACCATTGAAGCCACAACAGCGCAGTGAGTCTAGCAAATCACTTTCAAGCAACGCGATGCAAGGCAGCGAAAAAGTCCAATTGCTACGCAAACAAGTTGAACAGAATAAATTGTTAATGGCACAACGGGCTTCAAGTAAGCAGCATTTAGAACAAATTGTTTCACAACTAAAGGAAAAATTCGACACGACACAACAATGTTTAGAAGATACTAACGAATTGGGCAAATCAATGAGTGATCTCAGTGCACTGATGGTGCGCTCACCCACGTCAAGTGAGCGACACAAATCGGCCACGGATTTGTCGTCGCAGCCGTTCTCTTTGGATAAAGAACGCATAAAATACCTTGATAATCGCTGCCGCCTACTGGAAAAGCAACTTGAAAAGGAGCGTCAAATGCATAGTAATCAAGAGGCAACAAATGCTAACGAATCTGCAAATATAAAGCGAGTTAAAGAATTGGAAAACAAATTGGTCGAATTGGAAAAGACACTGCAGGCAAGGCAAACGGAAATCGATAGAAAAATTGGTGAGACGAAAGATTTAGTAGACGAACTAGAGCGTACACGCGCCGAGGTTAGCGCCAAAGACGAAGAACTATGTTTGATGCGATTAAAACAAGGCGACAACCCAAACGAATTCACCGAACTAACCGATTTGGAGAATAACGATATTGAACGTCTCCGTAGCGAATTAGAGAATAAGCATACACGCATTAATGAATTGGAAGAGGTCAATGATATGTTAGAGACAACACGCTGCGAATTAACAATTAAAAATACTCAATATGAAGAGCAGTTGCAACAATTGAAAGCTGAATTGAATGAGGCAAATGCAAGAATACAATCGGTGGAAGAACAGCTCAAGGGTAGTCAGGAAAAATGCGATTCCTTGGAAGAGGTGCTAGAGAAATTGCAGAACTCGACAGAAGTTGTCATTGTAGGGGCGAGCAAAATAGATGATAAAACAGCCAGTGTACAGGTGAGATTTACTGAATAATAATAATAATAATTTATTTTAATAAAAAAATCGCTTAAAACAGGTTTCCGAGGAAATGGCGAAGCAAATACAGGAACTACGTGACGAATGTGACAAATTGTTAGAAGAAAATAAACAGCTGAAGGAGACCATCACTGAACAGGAAAAGCTGGAAGTGTCTGACGAAAGTATTGCAAATAAAATTGCCGCACTCGAAGCTACTATTGAGAGCCAACGTGAAGATCTCAATGACCGCCAAGCTAAAATAAGCCATTTGGAGGAGCAAGTAACGGAAAAAACAATTGAATTTAATGTCTTGAATGCAAACTTTAAAGTGCTTGAAGAAAAACTGGAAGCTAGCACCAAGAACAAGTCATTATTCTCTTCCAGCGGTGCTGATGTTGGAGATAACCCCGCACTCGAAGCAGAAATCCAACAATTGAAACAGAAACTAGATGAATCCAATAAGGCAATGATAAAATTAAAGCTCAAATGCAAGCAAACTGAAAAGCAAGTTGAAAAGCTTAAGAAGAGTTCTGACTTACATGCTGAAAATGTGCGTTTAGAATCTTTAAATGAAGAGTTGCAACAGAAAATCACCGAATTGGAAGATGAGAAAGGACAGTGGCAACTAACGCAAATAGATACTAAAATAGTAAGCCCAGAAAGTGGAGATGAGCAACAAACACTCCTATTTGAAATGGAAGAAAAACTAAAGATGCAAACAGAGACCATTCGATTGCTGGAAGAAGAAAAGTACGAGCAGAAGCAAAGATTTGACGCAGCTGAAGAGAAACTACGTGAATTGCACGAACAAATCAAGCTAAAAGAAGGTGAGGAAAGCGCGCGTGTCAAGTCGGAAATATGCGCAACACAATTCGATGAGAAATTGGTAGAACAGAATCAGCAGTTGCAGCAACTGCAGGAACTTTTAGAAAAGGCACAAGCAGAGGTAGAAGAACATAAGGAAAAATTGACGGATTTAGAGGAACAAAAGCGTGCATTGGACAAGAAATTAGAGAGTTATATAGTCGAAAATATGGAGCTATTAGATAAAGTTGAAAAACTCAGCAAATCATCCTCCTCAGCCGAATCAATCGAAATCGTTGAGCGGTTAACGCAGCAGGAGCGCACCGAAATCGACGAATACAATAAACGTCTGGATGGCACTGCCGTCAGTTCTGTAAATGAATTAACACAAACTGAGTTAGCGCCCGAGCTGAATGATAGTCTGGTCAAATTGCGTGAAGAAAGCTCTGAACTGATGAATAAAATTGAATTATTTACAACAGAGCGACGGGAAGTGCTCGAACGTATGGAACATCTGACTGCCGAAAATCACGAGCTCATAGAAAAGATCGAAGAACTAACCCGTGAAAAAGATGAGATGGAAACAAATGTACTGCTATCTAATGACGAGAAAATTAAACTCGAAGAACGTATCAAAGAACTGAGCAAAGAGAAAGACCAGCTGGCAGTGCAAGTGGCCGAATTTAAGGTGCAAGGCAACCAGCTCTCACAAGAACTTTCCTCGCTACAAAAATCCTCCGAAGTGGTAGGTGCGCTCGACAGCAAAGATGACGCTGCGCTTATTGAAAAGTGTGAGAAATGTCTAACGAACCTCAGTCATGAATTAGAAATCTACCGCAGAGCTAACGACAAGAATGCTAAATTTAATGCATCCAAAAAATTGGCAAAGGAAGCAAAGAATGCGCATACACAGCTGAGTGAGCTGCTGCAAAAGGTCAAAGAGGCGAGCACGGCTGTGGAGACAGTAACGGTTGTGGAGACAGTAGTCGCAGTGACCGCACCCAATGGCAAGGCTTTGGCTGAATATGAACAATTGACCACACAGAACCGACTGTTGAAGGAGAAAATCAAGGATCTACAAGATGAACTGCGAGGTGCGCGCGAAGCAGATTCGGCGGATGAAACCGGAGCAACGGCAACACAAACGGCGACAGTGCCAGCCTTAACCGAGGATCAATCAAGCAAAGAAGAGCATGCCCAGCAATTGGAAAAGCTCAAGAGCTACGAAGCACAATGTGAGAAACAGCTAGAAGAGCTGAAGCGTTTTGAAGAGGAGCGCGAAAAGCAGCTGGAAGCGCTTAGAAGCGCTGAGGCGCAACGTATGGAACAATTAGACGATCTAAAGAAATATGAAGCGCAGTGTTTGGAGCTGCAATCAACTGTGGAAGATCTGCGTTTACAGCTGGTAGAGGCACGCACAGCAGGCGAGGAGCATCGTGGTCAAATATCACAATTGAATGATGAGTTGGCAGTGCTGAGAAAGACTTCTAGCGATTTGGATAGCTTGTTTAGCGAAAAGAATCAAACATATGAACAGGAGCTTAACGAGTTGACACGCCTGAGGAAAGAGTTGGAAGGTAAGCATTAAAAAAATATTGAAAATTAAACTTTTTCTCTACTGACAGTATTATTTCACTTTCAGGCAAATGCAATACATATGAAGGCGAAATGAGTATATTACAAACATTGGTCGCTGAGCAGAAGCAGCAGCTGATAGAAGCCTACAAAGAGCATGAGCATGAACAGAATATGAAACTCCTTGAGTTACAAGAACGCGATGAGCAAATTGTTCATTTGCGGTCCGAAATCAAAGAGCTTAAGCACACACTAACCTCTGCCGGCGATCAGTTGTCGGTAGATCTACGCAAAGAATGCGAGAAGCTGCGTGAATCGCTGAGAATCAGCAAAAATTTGGTAACCGAGCAAGTGAATGATCTTGCGAATAAACAAGAAACCATTGAAACGCTGAATCAACAAATAATTGACCTCTACAACTCAATGGAAGAGAACGCGAATAAGATTATTGAGAAGGAGGATGAGATTGCTAGCTTGAAGGGATGTGTTGATAGTAACAACGAAGAGTTGAAACGTCTGCGTAAGGATAATGAAGAACAGAAATCGGTTGTCGACAAACTATTATTCGAATTGCACAGTCATCGTACCACAAGCGAACAAGTGCCGCTGTTGGAGAGCCAGGTGCAGCGTTTGGTCGAAGAAAACCAGGCTTTGGAGAGAAATAACAAAGAGCTGGAGAAGCGTAATAAAGATCAACTTGAAAAGCTTAAAAAATATGCGGCGAATTTGAAGAAACGCTCCACCCAATGTCAAGAATTGGAAGCTAAAGTGCAGGAGCTGGAAAAAGGCAGTTTAGAGGCTATGCAAACGAAACAACAGGATGTTAGCCATGAACAGACGCTGAACGACACAATCAAACAGCTGGAAATCCAAATTGAGGAACTGAAAACGCAGCTGGAAGCAAAAGCCAGCGAAGTAACTGCAGTAAAAGAGGCCGAGGCGATTTTGAAGAACCAACTAGACCAATTGGAGCGTAATTTGGCGGAGAAGAACAACGAAATCGTGAAGCTGGAGTTTGCCTTAGTCGATGCACAACCACAGGCCGATGGTTGGGGCGATGCTGAACCAATTGCAGTGCCAAACAATATTGACAATCCAGCATCAGAGGCGCTGAAAACGCAATTGGAAGAGAAGACACACAAACTGCAAGAGGCCGAAAGCGAAATCTACAGCATGCAAGAGGAATTAATACAGGTGCGCGAAAGTGAGCGTGAGAAGAGTTTCGCCATCAAAGACTTGCAGAATGCTTTGAAGGAAAAGAGCGAACTAATTGCAGAATTGCAAAAGCAAATACACAGTCACACGCAGGCTGAGGACATTACACAAACACTTGAGAATAACTTGCACACTTTCGAGGAACGCTTACAAACACTCACCGAAGAGCTTAAGGCGAAGTCCATTAAGTTCGAAAAGTCCAAAGCGGTCATTAAAGAACGCAACAATCAAATTCAACGCTTGCAGGCGCAAGTAAAAGACCTCCAAGATAAACTCTGCGCACGGCCGGAAGAAGAGTACATTGGACCACCTGTAAGTGTGAGCGTGAATGCTGCAGAACCACCAACACCAGCACCGACACCAGCACAACCCCAGGTTCCTAAAGAAACCTACGATGATTTGGTTGTGGCTTATGAAAAACTAAGCGAACGCTACAATGTAGAGCAAGGTACTTTCCAAGCAACCATAGCACGACTGGAGACACTACACGATGGCATACAAGCCAAGTTGCAGGAGAATATGTCATACATCGAAACACTGGAACAAGAGAATGCAGCATACAAAGAGAAGATCTGCAGACTTGAAGAAGCCATTGCCACCTACGAAGACCAACGCGCCTCGATGGAGCGCCGTACAAATATTTTGTTCGAGCAAATGGAGATACAGCAAACGGAACACGAAGAAACGGAGGATGAGCTGATCTGTCGCTTAAACAAACTCTCCCATCATGATGATATAATCGGTATGCATCTGCAGAAGGCGCAGACGGAGAGAGATGAACTATTGTCTCGCATAGAAAGTATGCAGGAGAAGATTGCACAACTCATCGAGGTTAATACTAAAACGGAAAAGGAATACCAGTTATATCGCGAACAGAGTGAGGCGAACAATGAGGCGGAGACACAACAACTGCTCGACCAACTTAGTGCGGCGCGTACGGAATTGGGTAACTTACATACCTCTTACGATCAATTGAAAATAAAAACCGGAGAATTAGATGAAATGGAAAGTGAATTTAGCGAGCAGTTGATGGAAAAGAATTCCGAGAAACGCGCTCTTGCCGAAGAACTTGAGCGCACGCGAGGTCAGTTCAAAGAACTCAGCGACAACTATGCTAGACTGCACAAAGAGTATCAAACATATCGCGAACATAGCGAAACGAACATTGAAATGGATACACAAAAGCTACGCGACCAACTCAACACCACGCAAACCGAAATGGAACGTTTGCGCAACATTTATGATGCCAAACTGGCAGCCAAGACCACTGAGTTGGATCAGTTGGAGAGTGAACTAAGCGAACAATTGTCTCAGATGAACAGTGAGAAGCGTACCATTGCCGAAAGATTGGAACGCGCTCAGGATGAGTGTAATGCACAAAAGGATGAAATTGTGCGCTTGAAGGAGTCACTGAACGCTCTGGAACAGGTCAAACAGGAACTGGAACGTGAGGCAACGTGGCTGCGCCTGCAAAGTGTAGGCAGTCAGCAGGATCAAAATGATATGCAGGGTTTGCGTATGCAAATAATGCAAGATAAAACAGAAATCGATAATTTGCGTCACCAAATCGAAACGCTTGCGGCCAATCATGAAGTTGAGTTGCAAGAATTGCGCACGCAAATCTCCGAATTAGACACACTACGCATGCAGGTGAGTGTAAATTGGGAAGTGGGATAATGAAAATATCCATTAAGATAGAAACAGTTGCTCAGACCCAACAAAATAGAACACTTAAGACCGTGTAGGTAAAACTCCAGATGTTGTCTGCATACCATTTAAACTGAGTAGCTCTGAGTTAAGAATCATATGATATGCTACCCAAGGAAAATCTGCTAAATGCAGAATAGTTCCAAGACGAAATTGTTGACTATACGACATATGGACCATTATTATACGTTATTCAGGGAGACTTTATCAGTACCTTCACTAAGCCAAGCCTGTCGCCGTTTATTAAGTCATCTAAGTCCAAGTCCCACCCCTTGCAACCGAAGAGCTGGAGCTGCGCCATGAAACCATTTAATCCTATCACAACTGCGACCTCGATTATAAGCAGGTTAAACTCATAACTATCCCAACTAGTTCCTGAGGTACTCAACTTTCTTTTATCGTATGCTGAGAGTCCCTCCTTAAAGGTGGACTGTCTCTTGGCATGATTCTCTAAAGCATATTTCGTGTTTCTCTTTGTCAAAAGCTATCGGAACAGCAAGATTCCGGGGTCTCCCTTTAAATTATCTGTTAAAAAGTTTCTGCTTTTCCCACTCTAAGGACTTCTGCCCATAGGGATCCACAGTGTCTGGGGCTAGTAAAGTTATAAAGCTTCCACCGATTCTTAGTCTCTAATGAAACTTCTGTCCTTGCAGGTTGGCCAGAACCAAACTGACGATCAAGTTTTCATCGAAACGGAGAACAAACGTTTGACCGACTTACTTGCCGAAAAGGAAGCAATCATCGAGAATTATCAGCGTCAAAACTTGCAACTGCAAATGGCAGCCGCTGCTGCAGCGCAACCACAGGCTGCATCTCAAATCGACCCCCTTGCGTTGGCTTTCGGCTCGACTCAGCAAAATGCTTCGCTTACCTTGCCATCCGCAAGTCAAGCGGCGATAGTAGGCGATGAAAGCATACGCCTGCAGCGTGAACTGCAAGAAAAGAGCGAAAAGCTAACGCGTCTACAACGTGAGTTGAATACCCTACAGTCCGAGTTTCATAGTTTGAGCGAAAGCAACCACGAACTACAACGTCAATTGACACTGAAGAATCAAGAAATCGAAAGTCTACGTGGCAGCAGCAACAATTATATCAATACGCCCACTGCGGCTGCAGTCTTCGGACAACCACCATCTCAACAGGACGTCATTGCCGCGCCGCCACTTTTCTTCTCCAACGAGCAAGCGGCACCATCGCCGTTCGATGAAATTGTGCAAGTTCGTACGGTAGAAAATCTCGGCAGCGGCGTACGCTGCGCGTTGGATAGCGCGGCTGGTGGTCATCCCACAATGGAGCAGCCAACAATTGAAGATCTACAGCGTAACGTATCTGATTTGGAGAAGCATGCGCAAGAGCTGGAAAACAAACTCGCTACGCGCAATCAACGCGAAGTGGAAATAGAAGAACGTCTGCGTGAGAATCAACGAGCGCTCTCTGAATTGGAACGTCAATTACCTGAACGCGCCGAAGAGCTCCGAACAGTACAACTAGAGTTGCAAAAGGTTTTGCATGAAAACTCCGAACTTAAAATGGCAGACGCAACTGCTCAACGTCAAATTGGAGAGTTGGGTAATAGTTTGGCAGCAGCACAAAGTGACCTGCATCAACGTGACCAACAACTGCGGGCTTTGGAAACACGCTTGCAAGAGAAGCAAGCTAACAACGAGAGCCAGGCGTCCGATTTGATGGGCTTGGGACAATTACAAGGTAACTTAGAACGCTTGCAGGCAATGCTGCAGCAACGCGACGATGAGCTGAACCAGCTGCGGCGCGAACTTAACGACGAGAAGACTCTTAAAGAGCGCACCGCTGCGCTGGAGAGTCAAATTATACCAGACTCTCTAGCTAATTTGGAAGTGGGCGGCAAGCCAAATCCAATGCCTACACTAGACATGTTCTTTGGCGGCTCAAAGAGTGGTGCTAACGAATTTGAGGCCTTTGTCATACCGCCCATATCGAACGAGCCTGTCGTGGAAGCGCCAATTGTGCCCGAAAAGGCATACATTTGCCAACCACAAGGCGAGCAAATTATGCAGAGTGACCTGGCGGCGAGTGCATTTGACTTCTCCGATTTGGGTGATGTCTGGGGTACACAGGAAGCTGCCGCGGAACAGGAGCACTTCCGCCAGACAACTACTAGCAATTTAGGCGCACAGCGGTCTTTGGTGCCGCGCGAACAACAACTGGAAATACAGTTGAGCGAACAGGCGGAACGTATTGCTGAACTGCAGCTCGCTGTCGAGCGCTGTGAGCAGCAAAAACAAGAAATGCAAGTGAAATCAGGCAAGCTCATGAAGAAACTGAAAGAATACAAAACGAAAATTGACGAGTTACAGAGCAGTGCAAGTAAGAACACGAAAGCTACAGACCCCTCTGCGTCGTTCTTCGATTTGGACGCCGCCATACAGGACGAGCTTAAAGCGCAAATTAAGCAGTTGGAGGAGAGTCTGCTTGAAGAACGCAAACAACACGAACTGCACGGTGTCGAGAAGGAAAAGTTATTGAAGCGCATCGATGTGCTGACGGCCGGTAGTGAGCGTATGGCCGAGATGAAGGAACGCCAAGATATGGAGGTGCAAATGTATCAGGCGAGAATAAAAGAGTTGCAAGCAAAGGTGAATAGATTGGAAGATTGGGGACCTGATGCGGAAGCCGGTGAGCGCGTAGCTGAAGAGGGACAACCACAGCAGCAAATTGGTGCTGTCCCAGTTGCGGTATCTAACGGTGAGTGCTAGACAATCTTTAAATTTAGTGCTGAAGAGTTATTGGTAGTTCCTTAGAAAATATTAGTATCTCGGGGGAATCTCTGTAACAGATTAATCTCCCATCAGCTCGTTCACGTTAGACCGATATCAAAGGGTGGACGAATGTCGATCTGCGGAGATGGTCTGATCTTCTTACACTTTTTAATCTCATCTCTAACTTTATTACTGAGGATCCCACCTGGTCAGGGTCCGGTTTGTCTTTAAGCAGTTTGGAAGATGGCGATGTGAAATCACCTCAACATTTTCCCCTTTGTGTGAGACTGTGGCTCAAGACATTGATTGACATCAGTATATGCCGTCTTCGCGGTTCGTGATGTGGTTATTGTTATTCAATTTGAATTTTGCGGGAGAGACAGTCCTTGTTAGTCTTGAAATATGTGAGAGAACAGGTTTGTGTGGAATCAAGATGAGGACTTTAATCCTCCCAGGGTTCGCACCAAAGAGTTTCTTGAAGCTGCTGTGTCCACAGACAAGTGCTAATCTAATCTCTATTAAGTGGCTTAAAGCTAGTACACAGAACGACAAAAAGCCTGGCCTCGTATTCTTCAGGAAATCTCATTTCACTTCCTCTCATAAAACTTTGCAATTCTTATTCCCCTCTAGCCAATGCCTCCCAACCTCCACACCTACCTACCGCAGCGCCATCTACCTGGGAAACCGAAAGACAACAACTCAACCAACGCATCGCAGAGCTCACAGCAGAAATACAAGACATCAATGTCGACCGACAAGAACTCCAAGCATTGCTGGAAGACGAAAAGACAAATGTGCAGCGCGCAGAAACAGCGCAAAGGACCATACAAGAACAGCTAAACGCGCAGGAGACAGCGACTGCTGCAAATGAGAACGCCGACAAGACGAAGTACAACGAGTTGAAGGCGGAATATCATCAACTGCAAGAGAAGTACAACACACTGCATGCGGCTTACGAAGTACAAACTGGCGAGTTGAATTCGCTAAAGGCGCGGGAAGAGCAACTGAATGCAGCCTTGCAACAAGCACAAGACAGTTTGGCGTCAACTCAAGCGACAAGTGCGGAAGAGAAGCAACTAAAAGCAGTGTTGCTGAAGGCCGAAAGCGATTTAGCCGATCGAAACGCTAAGCTTGCGGGGCTTGAGAGCGATTTGGAGGCAGTGCAAACACAATTGATGGAATTGCAAACAAAGAATGCTGAATTGCTGCAAGCCAACGAAGAGTTGCAGCGCGCGAATGCAATGATGTCCACGTTAGAGCACACAGAAAGAGAACTGCGTATGCAAAACGGAAGCTTAGAGCAGCGCGTACGGCAGTTGGAGCAGGACTTGGTGAACCAGGCGCAAGCCACAGCAGCTAGTCACAATGCGGCGCCAAATACAACAATAACCAGCAGTGTCGATGTGGACGAGCTCAATGCACAACTGCAAGAGAAAGAGTCTGAGATCATGCATTTAAAGCAGCGCATTGAGGACTTGATGCGTGAAGACCAAACCGAAAAGTTGGTGCTCGAGATACTAACGAAGAATCAAGAGATACACTTACTGAAACTGCAAGTGAAAAACTTGGAAGAGGATAAACAAGAGCTGGAGCACAACCTCGCCTTGCAAATCACCAGCGAAATGCAGGCGCGTAAGAGCGAGAACGCGGAGAGTGAAACTACAAAGTTGCGCGAGCAAACCCAAGGACTGGAACAGCAGCTGCAGGCTTTACAAAGTGAAAAACGAGATATGGAGGAGGAGCTAAAGGTGCTAAACAACCATGTGATTCGCAGTCTTGAAAACGAAGACAAGCTGAAGGCCGCCGCGCTGCAGTTGGATACACAAAGCATAGAAATCGCCGAGTTGAGACGTACAATTGAAGCGCTACGCGCCAACACTGCTTCTACAGCCATTCCCGTTGCTGCCGCCGCGCCCGCTGACTATGCCGCCTTGAACGCGCAATGGGAGGCTATTGTCGAACAGAAATGCGGAGAAATTGCCAAAATGTGGCGTGAGCATTTAGAGCAACGCGAAACGGAATTCAAAATGACCGAAACACGCCTGCGTGAAGAGATTGCCGCCGCGCAACGTGCGTACAGCATGCAATCGACACACGAACCGGCCACTGGCCAACCGGGCGCTTCCGCTGAAAGCACCGCTACGTCAACGCCCGCCTCCATATCAACAACACAATCGGGCACATCATCCGGCGTGGCCTCCAAAGATGGCACGCCACTACGCCAACGCGTCATCAATGACGATGAGCATGAAGCGAATGCCGATGCGATAATTGAGAAAATGCAAACGGCACTGGAGAGCCAAGAGATGGAAATTGTCACGCTGAAAGAGCAGCTAGCCATACGTTCGGCGGAGTATGCGCGTCTAGCGGCACAATATGATCCATTCAAATTGCAAAATACTTCCTCGCATAGCGGCATCAGCGGCGGCATGGTTGCGGACGCGCGACGTGCATCAAATGCGGCTGGCGGCAATGATGCAACAGTTGTGCCGAAAGCTAAATTTGATATGGCGCTTTATATGCTGCATCAACGGGATATGCGTTGTGAGGAAATGACTGTTGAGTTGGTAAAGTTACTGGAAGAGCGCGACACACTACAGTTGAAGCTGTCGAATACGCTGCGGCAGGTGGAGGCCATCAAGGCGGCAACGAATTATGTTGAACGTGAGTTGTAGAAATATTTTTAGAATTTTTTCTTTTTTATCTCTTTTTATAATTTTTAATTTGCTATAATGTTTTTATTTTTTTACAGTTTTATTTTTTCGGTATTTTTTTTTTTGTTTTTGTTATTAAGATTTTTAATTTTAATCTGTTTATAATTTTTTTTAAATTTTTAATTCTTTTATTTTTTTTATTATATCAAATATATTTTTGTATCCCTTTTTTTGATGTTTTTTTTTTTATTATTTTTAAATTGTTTAATTTTGGTTTTTATTTTTTATTACTTTTAATATTTTTATTTATTTTTTTGATTTGCTTTTTAGTTTTATTGTATTTTTATTGTAACTTATTTTTTGTTTTGTTTTTGTAATTTGTTATTTCAATTTTGTTTTATTATTTTATGTAATATTTTATTATGTTTTATATAATATTTTATTATTTTTTAATTATTTTTTGTTTATTTTTAATGTATTTCATAATTTTTGATTCGTTTATAATTTATTTTTTAATTTGTTGTATTTTGTTATATTTATAACATTTGTTTTTATAATTTTTAATGTGTTCTTTATTTTTTATTTATTTTTTATTTTTTTCTACTTTTATAATTTTTTAATTTTTTTTTTAATTCTGTAATTCTTTTATTCTTAGTTTTTAATTATAATTTTTTTATGATTTTTTTAATAATTTCTTATTTGTTTGTAATTAGTTTATAATTTTTTATATTTGTTTTTTTTTGGAATTTAATTTTTATTTTCTTTTCGTAATTTGTTACATTCATAACATTTATTTTGTTTTTATATTTTTTTGTTTTTAATATTTTTATAATTTTTATTGTTATCTCTTATTACTTTTTATCTCTTTTGTAACAATTTTTTTTATTTTTGTTTGGTTTTTTCTATTTTTAAATTGTTTGTTTGCTTATTTTATTTATTATATTTTTTATTTTGCTATCTTTATTGCGCTTTAATTTTTTATTATTTTTTAATTAATCTTGTTTTTATGGTATCATAGCTTCTTATTTGATTGTGATTTATGTTTTAATTTGTTATAATATTTCATATTTTTAAATTTTTTTATTTTAGTTTTCTTTATATTTGTATGATACTTTTATAGTTTTTAATTTTTTTTATTTGTTTTTAATTTTTTTTTATTATTTTTTGTAATTTTTTCTTTATTTTGTTAATTTTTTGGTTTTAATTTTTTACATTTTTTCATAATTCATAGTTTGTTTAATAAGTTTTTAGTCTCTTATTTGTCTATATTTTTATAATTTTTTATTTTTAGTTTTAATTTTTTTTTGCAAAATTCTATATTTTTTATAAATTTTTTTTATAATTTTTTATTTGTTTTTATTTTTTTTTTGATTTTTTTTTTTTTAATTTTTAATTTTTTGAAAATTTTTTTTTTTTTGAAATTTTTTATTTTTCTAAAATTTTCATTTTTTTTCTTTAATTAACTTTCAAAAATAATTATTAATCATATTTATTTGTGTTGTTTTTCAGCTCCCAGTTCGCCGGTGGAGCAACCAGCACTTGCGTCATCAGCAACAATCGCTACGAGCTCAACACACGCACGCCCAGCTGCGCCCGGTAATTCAGCCGATGAATTGAACCAAAAGTAAGCGGATTACCACAATACAATACATAAACAAAACCGTTAATTAATTCTATTGCTATAAACTCATTTATTAGACTGTCTGAATTGCAAACTGTCGATCATTCCAAGGACAAGGTGATTAAGGAGGAACGCGATCAGCGCCTAAGACAAATGGAAAATATACAACAGGATGTTGCTAATATGCCGCCCGCCGCTATCTCCGAATTGTTTGGCAGCGATGCAGGTAATTGGATATCAATACAAGTCCTCTGGTAAATAATGTTAATTTTTATTATTCCCTTTTTATTTACTATTCGCCAGCGGAAAGCGGACAATCTCCCTCATCTGTGCTGATAAATTGGTTGTGGGGTAATAAGCCAGACGCCGGCAGCTCTGCGCCACATTAAAAAGCAATAAATCTACAATTGAAGCAAAGAAAAAAACTAACAATAATAATTTATAGAAAGAAATGAAAAAATAAACGGGAACAGTTGAGACAATACTGCGCACTTCAGCCAAACAAACACTGTTCCATAAGTATGGTGTAAACCATTAATTTCGAACGTATTGGCTACGATTTAAGCCAATTGCGATACTGATGGGGTTAACCATAATGCGCCTACTAGACATGCATACATATGTACATCGGTTGTTATCTCCTCCAACGTTATTCCACAATATACAAATATACATATATATATCTAATAATACGATACGATAAAACGAAGTTTTTTTAATGTACCTTATTTCGTTCAGCTAAAAAATTTATTTATACCAAAACTGCTTTAATTTATTGTAAATAATGCAGGCAAAAACAAAAAAAAATACATATATTAACGATGCAGTTATGTGTGTGGTTTTCCTGTAATATTAATTGAATAATTCAAAACAAAAAGTATATGAAACTAACTATCATTCTTAATTATTTAGTGAAAAATGTATGAATATGTAGTTGTTAAAAAAGAGAAATAATTCAAAACTGTGTTTAGAAAATTATGGGAATTGTAATGAATGATGCTGAAAAAAGAGAAATAAATAAATAAATGAAAATTGTAACCATATGCTTTGTATTTATTTAACTGTCTTGTATTGACTTAAACTGGTTGGTCACATTCATTAACTGTTAATTCAAAGTAGGGCACACACACTTTGTTTACTTAAGATTACGAAATAATGCAAACACCTTTACAATTCATTGATTGGGTTAGAACAATAACAAGTTCCCAAGTGCTTTAAGGATTGTTGGAATGTGTATTCGCAATCCGAGGTAGGTGACAGGAGTTTCGCTCTTACCACAAGTCACAATACGAGACGTGCTTCCCTTCTTGTATGGGCAATCGAAATGGTTGCCGGTATTGCAAGAACTCCTTAAACACAGCCGTATCTTACGACAAGATGATGTTTTCATAGAAGGAGGGGGGCTTTAAACAATTTTCTTTTGAGTGAGGCATACAAAGATATGGTTAGTGGTGCACAGGGATTCGTTGGCTGTAGGAAACATTGTATGAATCGAATCCGAATACGATACGGTGTTTGGATACTAATGCCGCCAATCACGGGAAGAGTGGTGAAGATGGTGTAAATTGTATATCAAATAGATCCATCCTGATGAGCGCGGGAGGCGATTAAAGCAGGTGCTGGTTTTTTTAAACTTCTTCTTATCGTCTGACTTGGAAAGTTTTGCAAAACCAGAAGAATTATTCATTTATCATCAAACCCAAAAAACATTAAGATTGGCATTTGTAAAAATCTTCCCTGAATATACATACATATGGTTTTGGGTGTTGTTGTTTTTCCAACAAATGGAGGAACCTACAGTTTGTACAAAGTCTTCTCCGATCTGCTGATATTTATTTTGTGGAGAGCCTTTATTTCATGTCAGAAGTACACTGCTTGACATTCTCTGCCGAGGGGCGACCGCATTTTAAAAATTTAACTCATTTTTAGTTTAAATTAAAATTCTATAATTTTAGAATTCTTGGTCGTACCAAGACTAAAACCTTGGCCATGTTTACTTCGAAGTAAATCTACTTACAGACGGAAATTTATACATATAAAAGGGTTAAGATATTTTATGGCCATTTTTCCTAATTTTAAAACTTTTATTATGTTTTAGATATTTTTTTATTATTGTTTTATTATTATTTTATTCCATTGGATTTCGTGGGTTAATTTTATTTTATGATGTTTATATTATTTTTAGTTCATTTATTTTATTTTATTTTTATTTGTTTTACTTTTATTTTTATGTTGTTTTAATTTTTTTTTAATTTACATTGTTATCTTTTCACATTATATTATTATTTTATTGTACATTAAACGTTTTTTATTTTAATTTATTACTTTTATATTATTTTATGATAAATTATATTTTTTGTATTTTATTTGATTATGTTTTGTTTTATTTTATTTTATTTTATTTTATTTTATTTTATTTTATTTTATTTTATTTTATTTTATTTTATTTTATTTTATTTTATTTTATTTTATTTTTTTTTTTTATTTTATTTTATATTATTTTATTTTTTTTTTAATTTTATTTTCTCTAATATTTTCATTTCATTACAGTTCCTTAAAACTAAAAGCTCAATCGAATTAAATTTTTATTAAAATTTTTCCTTTTTGGCAATATAATTTTTATTTTTATTGTACTTAGTCCCAATTCCCTATTTGATGTATTTTCCAATCAATTTTAACTAAAAGCTCCGTTTCCATTTTCGTCTTCTGTTTGGGCGTTTCTCCATTAGCGTATTAAATCAGTTGCCGGCTCGTACTGTTCTATGTGGAGCTTTTCGATGGGGTTGCGCTTTCTTTGGTGCTCTTTTAGCCTTTTTGTTTCTTAGATTTGTATTTGCTTCACCGTTATTTTTTTTATTTCCAGTTGAATAATTATTTTGTTTATTAAAGGTTTGCTTTTGCAGCTTTTGCCGATTTGCTGCTATATTTAATTGTTGTTGTTTTTGTTTATTGTTAGTGGTTTTATGTGCTTTATTTTTATTAGGTTTTTTTCGATTATTTGGCTTCTCTTTTATTTTATTATTTAAGGGATTTTTATTAAGATTATTCTCGTTTTTATTTTTATTTTTATTTTTATTTTTATTTATATTTTTATTTTCTTTCTTCAATCTTAGTTTTTGTTGGTTTTGTGAGTTATGTTGATGTTTTTGCAGATTTTGTTGCTGGCTCTGTTGTTTTTGTTGAGTTTTTTTATGCTTTTGTTGTTTTAGTTGGGAATGCTGTGGTTTTTGTTGGGTTTCCTGATGTTTTTCTTGGTTTTGTTGTTTAATTGGATTTTGTTGTTGTCGTTTCTGTTGTGTGATTTGGTGCTTTTGTTGTTGTTTCTGTTGTGTGTTTTGTTGTTTTCGACGTTCGTTTGGATTACTCTCTGGTTGGTTTTGTTTTTGTTTTGTTATTTTGCTTTGCTTTTTCACCTTTTTACTTGAATTTTCTGCACCATTTGCATCCTCCCCTGAAACTGCCGCTGTCGTCTCTTTTTCCTTTTCTTCGCCCACACCCTCCCCTTTTCCACCTGCTTCCAGCTTTTCTTTATCTTCAACCAACTGGTTCTCTTTTTCCCCCGGCTTGGTAGTTAATCTTCTAATAGGACTACTTGCTGGAGTGGTCAATTTCGATGCTCGGTTTGGCGACTCTGTCGTGCTCTCGACTAATTCTAACTCTACATTTACATTACCCTCAGTGTGTTGCTCGTATGCGGCAGCGTACTTTTCATCCTTGGGAAATTGTAAAAATTTACTATTCGGACGAGATGGTCGTTTTTCACCATGCGTGGCTGCTTTTGTGGTGTGTGGCGCCTCCAGTGTGGTTTCCAATGTATTCACAGCATTTACTTGGCCTTTCAACGTCTCAATTAATGATTCTACTTCGTCTCGATACCGTTTGCTCTGCTCTTTGTCTCCGTTGGTTTTGTACTTTTGATGGCGCTGCGGCGTTTGTTGTACTTGTTTTTGTTTCAGAACAAATTCCTTTCGCACCGAACGCCCGTAGACGGGCCGGGCGAGGTGGAGGTGTAGGAGGAGGCAGAGAAGTCCTGTCAAGTGGAAGAATATTAAGACTTTCATCTTGCACTTCTTGGCAGTGAATGAAGAATTCTGAATTGAGAAAAGTTCATTAAATTGGTGTTTACGCGTTTGTATCGTACATACCATGTGTATGTGTGCACAGGTTGCAGTTGGTGACACCAGTTGCTTTGATGTGGCATTTCATGCTCAAATAGTAATTAAGTAAATACAAATATTAAAGTGAACTCACAAAACTTTTTTCGAGCCAAAGTGCATTGAGTTGGATTAAGGAGAAGAAAACTTGTTTTTATTTGTTTTAATATTTATTAAGTTAAGTTACTATTTGTGTTGTTGTCGTTTTTCACTTGCACATTTCATTCTTTTTACACACACACACATACACACACACACACACACACGAAATCGTATATACATTTGTTTGGTAGTTTTGTTTGTTCCTCTACCACATTTGCCGCACAGTTCAATTTACTCTATACCGTATTTCTGTATGTACGAGTATGTATGTGTGTATGTATGTTTGCTTGCAGCTTGAGCGCTTGTAAAAAGATATTTATTTGACCACACTTTTGGCTTACAAAGTTTTCTCATTCCATTTTCTTTCTTTCCAATATGTTGCATTATTATCAATAACAAGCTTATGTATGTATCATATATATAATACATATAGATCAACGCTTGTAGTTGTATGTATGTATGTACATATTAGACAAAAGTATGCACATAAAAGTGTTTACTAACGAAGTCGGCGCTAAGCACACATTTAGAGACACTGTTTTAATATGCGAGTACTCTTCTGGCCGCAAATACTGATATAAAGGGTGTTCATTTGGATGTGTGTGGTTTTCTATAAGGCAATACAGTAGCAGCAGTTGACCTTTTTGAAAGCTGTTTTTTTTTAAATTATAATTACTTTGGTTTGTTGTCGTTGTTGTTGTTGTTGGTGTTGTTGTTGTAACTGCAAAAATATTCCCCCAAAGTAGTTTTTGGAGAATATTGCGGTAGTGACAGTCCTTGACTGGATAAAAATCTGGGTCGTTCTGGTATAAAGACTTTACTGTCGCGGGAACTATTGGATTTTAGTCGCCACTTACGACAGGCACATCTCTCCGCGGGTAAACTCTTGAACCTCTAACCCGCACGGTTGTACTTGGTTCGAATTTTGAGCCAATAACGAACAGACTTACTCCGGAGCGACGTTTAGAAATTGTGTAAAGTTATTATTCGCTTCGTGAGACGCTTCGCGCGCTGCATCCAAAGTTCGGTCAGCAAAATCGCACGGTTGAGTCTGTAATTCGGGCAACTATGGATCGCCCTCGCATCACGTTTACACTAATGGACAATGCGCATCCTCACAGACAACATACAGTGCGTACCGAAGACGCTTTTGCTGCTGGGGCGAAGAGCGTAGAACAAGCCCCGAATGAGACAACACGCCATCGCACGCAAATTTTGGAGCTGTGCCCATACATTTTATGGAGGATTTTGCGGAAGGAACGGCATTTGGTGATTGAGTTCAAAACGAGGTGGACAAGAATACCATTTTTCACAAGAAAGTTTCGTTGGACTTCATTGTTGAAACTCTGTTAGAACCTCGAAAAGTCATTGTTTGGTGTGATCTATGGGCAGTGGGGAATGTTATAGAGCCATGAGTTTTCCATAGGGTGCTCCAGTAAGTGATATTATTTTGATATTCAAAGGAAAATGACATTTTTTATATTTATATTTAGGTATTCTTATTTCAATGTAGCTCCTGTATGCCATCCATAGCTTGACGACTGCCATCTTTGAAGTCTTTAGTCGCCGTTGGTGTAGACCTTACTTTTCACGAGGCCCAAAGGAAAAGCCGCAAGGTGTTAAATCAAAAGATCTCGGTGGCCAATTGCGATCATCTTTTCCGAAAATTTTACCTCTAACCTTATTTCACCAAAAAGTAACGTCAAATGAACCCTGCGGATCATATCCCGCACCAAATCGTTGCACGTTGAG